GACCCTGGGGGTCTTGGGGGTTCCACATGGCCCCATATAACCCCCCCCCGAGCCCAGCAGCAGCACCAGGACCAAGCTGATGCGGGCGCAGAAGTGCTGGGAAGAGCCACCCAAAAGCCCCACACGCAGGCAAGGGGGAGCTGGGTGCCTGCTCCGAGGTGGCCTCACCCCAGTACCAAGCATCCCACAGCCCCACATCATCCTCCCTCCATCCTCACCGCAGCAATGCACCCACCCCAAACGATCCGCAGGACCCAAAGGGGTGCAGGAGCACCCACCCCCTCCAAACCGCCCCCCCCCATGGACCAGCCCCATGGTGATGCTTGGTCCCTCTCGATGTGGTGATGGTGGTGAGGGGGGGAACCTGGGCCGGCGGTGGGGTGGGGGGGACGGGACGGGACCCTGCCGCTTGTCTGGCCCGATCTGCATCACAAAAGGCCCATTCTTGCGAACTTGGGCGACCTCCCGACCCCGGCAGCTCGGGGAGTGAATGGCTTTAGTCTGCCACGACCATCATGTCACTGTGATTAGTGCGTGAATAAACTCTCAATCCCGGCCTTGGGGGAGGCAGAGCCGGCGGGAGCAGCGCTGGAGCCCTCCCAGCCCCTCAACCAGCACCCAGCACCCAGGGGGGATCCCGTCCCACCCAAAGCATCCTCAGCGCGGATCCCACCTCCCAGCTCCCGTGCTTAGGGGATGCTTTTGGGGTGATGGCAACCCCTTCCCATCATTGCTGCCTCCCCGGGAGGCCTCGCTGGGGGAGCAGAGCAGCCCAGATGAAGCAGGGAAGGACCATTGGCTCCTTTAGAGCCCCAAGCTCAGGCAGCAGCAGCCAGAGCATTGATGGGGAAGCTCCCTGCACCGCTTGAGCAGACTGGGCCGGATCCAACCCAGCTCCCTTCAGCTCCTGGAAGGGTTCACCAAGAGCTACAGGAGCCTCCAAAGCCCCTGAGTCTTCCTGAATGCCCCAGCCAGAGCCACTCACCCAAAGGAGGGATGTTGGGTTCCATAGGGGCAGCCAGGCTGGCTTCAAGGATGCTCCAAGCTCACTTTGGTCTCAGCGTCCCCAAATCCAGCATCACTGAGGGGATCCAAAGGGCTTGCAAGCTTCTGGGCAGGCAGAAAGGCATGTTTTGAGGGAAAAACCTGGGGGATCTCATGTTTCTGGAGGCCCTGAAGTGCACTTCCATTTACAAGCCAACCCGAAGGATGCAACCGGCCTCCAACATCTGCTTTTGAGGAGAAGCTGGACTCTTGGCATCCCTCCTGCTCGCTGCACATCCCAGGGTATCCAATAACCCCCGGGTTGCTCAACACCCATCCAGACCTGCCCAAATCTCACCAGTTTAAGCCTAAAAATCCAAGATCTGTAGAAAAGGCTTCGGAAGACAGTAAATTAGGCCCTGTGCAAGGGCTCTACATGGGAAGCTAATGACCTTTTGTCTCTCCTGTCTACAGACGGGCCTCATTTGCATGGATGCAGTTGGAATAATCTCGCCCATATTTCAAGCGTGTGGCTGCATCCCCGCATCCTCCTCCAGAGAGGTTCCCTCCTGCTGTGCGAGCCATTATAACCCTGCAGCCACTTCAGACTGCCTCCAAAGCCACCGAGACACCAGGCAGGCTCTCCCCGTGGGTCAGAAAGAGAGGGGCTGAGGCCCCAGATGTGGCCAAACGGAGCAGGCCTGATGTAGCGTGGCTAAGGGGTACCCCAACAGCAGCGCCCACGCCTCAGCTATGGAGAGCATGCCTATGGGGAGATGCTCCAGTAACAGCCCCCATCCTCCTCCAGGGACCAAGCTTTTGGGTTGATGGAGCCCAGGTGTGTTCCTGCAAGCTGGAGCCCTGGGATGCTCTTTCTTAGGTGCTTTGAGGATCTTTGTGAAGCAGCTCCCAAAGGGCAGGTTAAAAGTGGTGGAGGTGGAAAAACTTGAGGTCTCCCTGCACCTCTCCCTGCTCACGTTGCTTTTCTTCATGGCCTGGAGGTATCTCAGAGCTCAAGGGGGAGCTTTGGGCTGCTGTTGTTCCTGGGACCAGACCAGCTCTTTACAAACCCAGCTCCTGCTCAAGGTGTGCAGCAGGGCTGGCAGGGACCCCCTTACCTGGGGTAGCGCTGGCTTCACACTGCCCAACCCCATCCACTTGCTCCACAGAGATCCCAAGGGCAGGATTAGCCCTGGCTCTGGGCAGACTGGATTGCAAGAGCCAGAGCAATGCAGCTCAGGCAGCCCAGGACCCCAAACCCCTGAGCATCAGCCTCCCCCATCTTCCTCCTCAGCCCTTGCCAAGGCTTCCAGCATGAAAATCCTTCTCTCTTCCAGCATGGAAACGATGCTGGGACTGATGCTCCCTCATTTCCTGCTGCCATCCCCCCTTCCACTGAGCCTCAGCACCTGGTCTCAGCCCCTTTCCCCTGCACCAGGATCAGGTCCATCGGGGACCAGAGCAGCTCCGTTAACAACACCTCCTCCGGTTGCGGTGCCGGGGAAGCGGCGTGGCAAACCCAAGCCCTCAGACAAGGCCGAGCTGTCAATCCAGCCCCGAGCACTCAAAGGCTTGATTAAGGACCCCCCAAAAAAGAGAGAAGGATGGGGAGGGAGGGGGGAACCAAACAAAAGGGAAACGGGAATTCCTGGCCAGGAGCTGGGAGGCGGGGACGGAGGGAGGGGACAGCCCGGCCACGTTAAAATTCCGACGGAGAACTTGGAGCCGCACTATAGAGTCTAGACAAGCATTCAGAGCCCTGGCCCCGATTGTTAGGGAGCCTCTATTGTCTTAATTAACCATTTGAGCCGCAATGGAAGCAGCCAAACCTTTTCTTCCGCGGCCCAGCCCTCCTCACGCAGACAAACAGCCCCGAGTCAAGTGCTGTGATTTAAACCCCCCTCGGCACACACGCACGCACACAGACACCTTCTTATGGGGTGGGGGCTCTTTGCAAGGCTGGTTGAGGAAGGGGGTAAAGGGGGGGGGGGAAGAAATGCAAATCCTCAGCGCGCCGTGAATGGGAACAAATGGGTTGATTCTTTTAATCTCCTAATGTGCTTAATAAAGCATTATGGCGATGCAAATTTGACTGTAATGCTGTACATATTTTCGTTGACATGCTGGTAATTTTAGCTGGCTGAACAATCCAGCGCTTTGTTTTTAGGGAGTTATTTCTGGGTCGGGGTAAAAAAAAAAAAGGGGGGGATATTTTGGAGGGCATCCCAGCGTTTCTGCCCGTGATACCCCCTGGGAATCTCTGCAGCTCACTCTGCAGCTAAAGCAATGGCTAAGGTGGCCAAATTCTCCTCTCCTGACCCCAGCAGAGATGCAGGAGCAGCTCAGAAGCGCTTCTCAACCCCCCTTTGAGCTCCACAGCCTCTTTTCACCCATCCCTCTGGTGCCTTCCTGCCTCCTACATCCCATGCATCCAAAGGGGGATATTGGAGCATCTTCAGGTACTGGAAGATGTAAAGGTATCCCAGCATCTGAACGGGCCTACAGCTTAAACCAGGGACATGTAGGCTAGATGTAAGGCAGAAGCTCTTCCCTATGAACCCTCATCCCCCATCCAGCCTTCTTTAGGGTGGGTTTGGGATTTCCCCGCTCTGAGGGGTGCCTGCTCCTTCTGAAGGTGTTTGCATGAACCATTCCCAGTGGCCACCTTGAGGCCTGCATGTTGAGGTGGGGAAGGGGCTAACAAGGGCTCGTATTGCCCCTTCCTCACCATAACCTGAAATCTGGCACCTCTCTGGAAGCACCCCAGGGCAGCGCCAGCTTCCCCTGTGGGAATCTGCCTCCTTTTCTGCTTGTGTGTGTGTCAAGGTACAAACCTGATTGGAAAAAGAAAGAAATTAGTGCCAATTATAATCATGGTGCCAGGCTGCGGCTCTCCAAGGGAAAACTGTCATTTTGGCAGGATAAATGCAGCCCCGAGAGCTCTGGAAAGCAAACAGAGATGCGTGTCAATGGGCAGGCTCTCAATGCTCCCGAGGCCTCATGGAAAAGGGGCTTTTTCAGCCCAAAACTGAGCATCAAATGCCCTCTGCATGTTGAGGACCCCCCAGACTGCTCTGCCCCCCTCATGGGAGCCCCGAGGCGTGCACTGGACCCCTCCTGCCTCAGCATCTCCACAGGGCAGGGGTAGAAGCACCACTGGTGATGGGGATGGGGCCCTTTGCAAAGCCCCTGAGTGCAGAGGGAGCACAAGCCTGGAAAGCCACATCCCAAATCCATTGGCTATAGGAGCAGGCAGCAGCTCTCCCCATCCTCCTCTCAGTGTGCAAGCCTTCGCTGCAAGGAGGGTGGAAGCTGGAGGCGTGAAGGGTCTCCCCTTAACCTATAGTGAGCATTGACCCCTCCAGCACTTCAGGGATGGTGGCAGGAAGCCTCTCAGCAGCTGATCTCCAGCAGGGAATGGCTGCAGGAAGGATTAAGGGGATTAACATGGTCCAGGAGCTACTTCCAAGAGGTTTGCCACAGCCAAGTGCAGGGCAAGGAGAGGCCTTTACTGGTCCTCCCTCAGGACCATTCCCAGCCCTCCCAGGATGCTAGGAGCAGCATCTGTGGGGAGGAAAAGCCACTTTGGCCCAACCCACATTCCCAAATTCCCCCCGAATTCCCACAGAGAAACAAGGACCACAGAAACTCACATGCTCCTTCATCACACATGTGCTCCATCCATCACATCCATGCTCCATCCATCACATCCATGCTCCATCCATCACATCCATGCTCTATTCACCCCATGCTCCATCAATCACAACCACACGCCAGGCATCGTGTACACGCTCCAGCCTCCCTTGGGAGGACAGGGACCAGCCCAATACCCTGCAAAGGGGCTGGAGATGTCCAAGGGATGCCAAGGGTGACGTTCCCCCTGTTTCATCTTTGTTCCAGCCTCGCAATGTTACCCCTCTGCTCCTAATAATTCATCTGCTCATTCGGTCTGCACCAAACACCTCTTTCATCACCATTCCCCGCCATAGGAACAGAGCCACCAGTGAACAGACACCTTGAGCAAGCCAAGCTTTATTGTCGGCGATCCTTCGCTTGGGGTTGGGTTTGCCATGCAAGAAAAGCAGTGGGGAAGAAAGAAAGAGCTCTCTTAGAGCACCACGAACAAGAGGGAGGCAGAGGGAAGCCGAAGCCTTCCCTTCATTAGCATGAAATTTGCTGGTAATTAGATTTCGGGGCATGAATATTTTAAAAACATGGAAAAGACAGGCTGTCAAAAACAGCCCGGCACCGGCAATTCCATCATGTGGGAGACAGAGACATCCACAAGCCATTAACACACATTTCCTGCGCTCCGAGACTGCCTTTCCTTGCTTTGCTTCTTTTCCCCTCCCAGCAGCGTGTTCTTCACCTGCAAGCAAAAGAAAACACAAAATCACTGCAGCTTCCATTGGAGATGGTTGCTTCCTGCTTTGCCATCATCCCAACGTGATCCCGGCGCTGGTTTTCCCTTCCTTAGCATCCTTCCCTCCCCTGCCTCCCACCGCAGCCTTGCTTAGCACAGGCAGGCCTGAGGTTGGGTCATCCATCAGACCTCCCCCCTCCTGCAGGACCAGATTAAATTAAGGCTGCAGGAAGCTCCTGTCTTGATCTTGAGGCTTTTCTGCTGAAAACACTGATTTTGATCACTATTTGCATAATTGTATGGTTAGGTGCTCGCCGGGTCCCTAATGATATGATCTGTGTTCAACACCGCTCCAATGAGGGCCGCTTGTGAGGGGCATAATAAACCACTGCTCTGTGCTCACCGCAGGCCTGGCCTTGGCTCTGGGCTGGGATCCCCTTCCCACAGCTCCTCCCTGCAGCCTCCTGACCCCCAAAGCACGGTGGGGCCAGCCCCACACACAACCTGTGCGTGAGGACGTGCACCGAGGGCGATGCCAGCCCCAGGGGACAGGGGTTGTGGTCGGGATGCTGGTCCCTGCTACCGAAACAACCCTCGGCAGAGCCATCATCCTCCGACGGCTCCATCCGAAGGGATGCAGTTGAGACGCAGCACCGCGGGCATCGCTCTTGCCCATGCTCCGTTTCCAACAGGACCACAATGTGGATGGGAAACAGCCCAGTCCCACATTTCCCTCTGTTTTCTCAGGAGAACTTTGCATGCCAGAAAGAAATCCATCCCAGGGGCTGCTTGTTGGGATCATTCAGGATCTGAGCTCGTTTGGAGGTGGGGGTATCACAGGGTAGGATCCATCCATGCCCGGAACCAGCACAGACACCAGAGCACATCCCCTGTATGACCAGTGCGGTGCCACCAACCCCATGGACGTGCCCAGGGAGGAGCTGCTTGCTCATGCACTTGTCAAGAGGACATCAAGTTAAGATGCTCCTGCTCATTGCAGGGGGGCTGCACCGGATGACTTTGGAAGGGCCCTTCCAACCCAACCCATTCTATGGGTCTGAGATCCTGTTCTCTCCTGAACTCTTCCTGTGCAAAGCATCAACATCTGGGGGGGGGGATTTTTGCTTTCAAAGAGCCTGGGTTTAGCCCTAAATCGGGACCAAACACTTGAAAGGCTCTAGAAAAGGGGCCTCTTTCCTCTGCACATCCCAAGTCCTTCAGAAATCAAGTCCTTATTATAACCGAGCCCTCAAAAAGCCTCTTGGGAAGAGGAAACTACAACAAGAACCCCCCCAAACCCCCATTATTTGACCTTGCTGTTAAAATTCCCCATGTTAGTTCCTCTCATCACTATCACCGTGATCATCTCTGGCAAATTCAGCCTACGCAAAACAGCCCCACACAAAGCAAATCCTAGACCTCAACTCGGGTCATGCCTCCCCAAAATCTCCTTTGCAAAGGCTTTATCGGCCCGAGCAGGGAGTAGAAGCAGTTGGTACAAGGAGCTGAGCGACCAAATCAAAAGCATGTGAGCAGATTAAAGAATCAATCGCTCCGTTTGATGCAGAGGAAATCCCACTAATTATAAAGAAGGGGCTTATTTCCTGGAGTCACTGTGTTTGAAGTCATCCAAACCAGGAATACTTCATTCCTTTATGGAATATGGAACACCGAGCCCCTTCTCCCACTTGCCAGTCCTCTGATGCCATCGCTGGCACCAGGGCTTACAAGGGGGTTATGGTGATGTTCTTCCCTATGTGCCTATGCACTTATTGGGTCAAATGAAGCCCTCACATTGCCTGCAGGGACGTGTTTAAATGTGCTTTCAAAGGAGGTTAGAATGGAAAAGGGGAAAGCTGTGATTTAGCCATGCCAGCTACCTGGCTATTACTGCAAAGGGGTGCGCGTTCCCTGCCAGCAGCGTTCACAATCACGTTCTTTGGAATGAAAGCAGACTGAAGGGGTTTCCCCCATCCTGATCCTTGAAAAGGGAAGGGGACTGGCAATGGCGTTACCAAACCTCACCCTCCACAAGCCCTGCCACAGCAGGAAGAGAGGAGCGAGGTGTGGCTTTTGGTCTATGGACACAGGTCGATTACACCCATGGACAGGACAGAACCCCCCGGTATTTGGAGGCAAAGAAGCGCTTCTCCTTTCCCAACTGGCATAAAGATGTTGAATGTCGAAGACTCTCTGATTTTCTTCATCTTTCCAGGTCGGGACATGCTTTGCTCAAGGGCAAACCACCCCTCTGCAGCTCCTGGTTCTGGAGCCAGGTGATGACCAGCACAACTTGCATTAAAACCCCAGCAATAATCCTCCTTTTGGAGGCTGAACGACGTGACCTAAAAGGTGCAGGCAGGGAAAGGCAAGGAAGTTCACTTGATCAAGTCTTGCCATCCTCGCTGCGGGCTCAGGGGGAGCTGGATACCCCTGAGTGCATCCCTGGCGCTGATGCTGCTCCCAGCCCCAGCGTCCTCAAGCAAAGCCACCCCTGGCTATGGAGCGAAGCCCACAGGATCAAACCCCTCTCCCAGGATGAGATTAAGCTCTCTGAGCCCATTATTCCTCTAAAGGCAACCTCTGGGGAGCAGGTTTCATGCAGAGCTGCCCATTTCCATGCTGAGGCAGCACCAGGACAGCCCAGGTTTGGGTCTTGCTCAACCCTGGTGATGATATTTGCCTCCTGCGCTTCCCTGCCTGGCCTCAGATGTTTGGGATAGACGGAGCAGCCGGATTTCTCCTTGCCCCATTCCTGGCAGTTCTCAAGGCCAGGTTGGACGGGGCTTGGAGCAAGCTGCTCTAGCGTGAGGTATCCCTGGTTTGGAACTGGATGAGCTTTAATGTCCCTCAGCCCAAAGCATTCTGTGATTCTATGGTTCTATGACAATAACACTTCTCTGGGCACCAGCATTTGGCCCTTCCTGGCTGGTAAGAGAGCGGCAAGAAGGGAATTGGGTTTTATCCAAAGAGGCTTTCTAGGGCTGGAGATGATCTTCCCTCTAATCCATCTCAGTGACATGCGTTAGCGGTGGCCTTGGCAGTCCTGGAGCCATGCTTGGACTCGATCTCAAAGGGCTTTTCCAACCTGGTTGATGCTGATTCTATTCTATGCAGCAGCAAGGGGCAGCCCCAGGGCTGAGCTCCAGGTCCGTGCCTCAGCCATGACCTGCTGCAGGAGGAAGGAGCCTTGGCTGCATCCCCACTGCCCGAGGGATGGGCTCAGGGCAGACAGACCTGGACCCTCCCTGGTCCTACCCCTGCCCTGCATCCCACCTCCTCAACCAGGGATGCGGGCTTTCTACGCCCCAAGCACATCCCCATCCACCAGCCCTTCCTGTACGCTGAGCACCGGGACCTCAGCACTGGGGCGCAGGAAAAGGGTTTACTCCCTGCAGGAAGGGGTGAGCAGGTCCCCACGGAGCAGGGTGATTCTGAGCGGGTCACTTTGCCTTCATTATCTGCAGTTTGTACACAGGCATCATTAGGGATTCATTCGGTTTCCCTAGCAGCAGGCATTAGTCTGGTTCCCTTTCCCCCTTCCCTCGCCAGCGCCCTTTATTTTTAGTGTCTTATTTACAGTTTGACAGAGTAACTGTAACCCTTGCAAGCTACTCCAGCGGCTTTAATCGGGGGAATAATGGCTCCTGTCTGGCCATGAATAGAATTTAGGGGACAGATTGTTCCACACTCGCCCGGTGGGGTAATTTATTTATGTGCGCACTTGTCAGGAGGAGAAAGGGACGGGGGGGATCTGTATGCGCCGAGGACACTGAAAGGGAAGGGAGAATGGAGCCAAACACCCCAGATCCCACTGCACCCCCCCGCTTCCCTTGCTTTTGGCAGCTGAATACCTCCAGTGGCCGTGAACTTGGAGGGGTTGAAAGCCCCATTCCCAGGCCCTCGGCACGTCAGCGGGGCCGCCGGGTGCCGGCAGCGGGCTCGGGGCTCCAGATGGGTCCGGCCGCCGTGGGCAGCCCTCCCCGGCACTGCCCCGCATAGCCGCGGCGCGGGGAGCACGTCCCATAGCAACCGTACAGTAGCGGGAGCACAGCGGGGGTCTGGGAAGAGAGGCAAAGCCCTCGGAGAAATACAGGATGGGGCCAGACAATGGCCCCTCTCATATCATAAATTACACGGCAGCAACAAAAGGGGATGGATCCGGCCCTCGTCCCCACTCCCACAGCCTGGGTGCTGGTGGGCATCCTCGGACAGGGTCCGCTCTTCAGCGGGGACTGGAGCGATAGGACAAGGGGTGATGGGTTCAGACTGAAACGGGGCAAGATCAGGTTGGAGATAAGGAGCAAGCTGTTCCCTGTGAGGGTGCTGAGGCGCTGGCATTGGGTGCCCAGAGAAGCTGTGGCTGCCCCATCACTAGCAGTGCTCAAGGCCAGGTTGGACACAGGCTCCAGTGGAAGGTGTCCCTGCCCGTGGCAGGGGTTGGACCTGGATTTAAGGTCCTTTGCAACCCAACCCGTTCTATGATCTATGATCCTATGGTAGTGGCAGCCTGATGGGTTTCCAAAGGAGGGAGGTGGTGGCGTTGCCCCTCCCAGCCCATGACATCTCCTGCACCTTCCTCCTGTCTCCACTCCACAGCAACCCTGCATGCTGCCCCAAAATGCTGCCAAGCATCCGATGCCTGCGCATGGAGTCATCCATCACATCAGGCATGTGGTCCCTCAGCCAGTGCTAACCAGGAATGGGGAGAAAGAGATCCTGGTGCAGAGGCGCGATGCTTTCTCCTTCTGCACTTCAGAGAAGAGGCCCTTTTGCTCCTTTTCCTCTTGGTGGTTCAGATCCGGGAGCATTTTGCATCCAGAGCCAACAGCAGCAACGTCTCAGCTCAGCTTCTCCCATGAGCTTTTGCCTGGGTCTGGATGAGGCTCCATCACAGCCCGCCCTGGACTCCCATGCAAAGCAGGACAGTGGGATGCAGGCAGTGGTGCCCTGCTTAGTCCGGCTTCCACCTATGCTGGGAGCCTTTCCCTTCCAAAACATAGCCTTCAAGTTAGCACGTAATGACAGCCTCTGCCCAAGTGGAGACCCTTTCTAAGTCACTGGTGTGGTATTAAGGCATCCCTGATGTCTACACACTTCTTACACCCACAGCAGCCATGTGGGTACAGAGCATCTTTGCTCCTGGGGTATTACCAGTTTACTGACAGAGGTGCCTAGAGCTGGGTGAGACATAGGAGGACTAAAGCAGGAGGAAAGCACCAAGATGTCATCTCCAGGCCATGGTGCAGAGAAGCACCAAGTGTTCTCTGGACCTCCATTGCCTGCGGCACAGCCCATGCGATGCTCCTGGCGTTTCTCCATCACTGCTCCAGGACCAAAGGCTTGGTGTTGGCTTTTTGGGAGCAGAGGTCCTGCAGGTGATGAGGGCTCTCATCCAGCTCTGTCCCAGACACGTGCTCAGGATCCCACCTCCAGGGTCACCACCATCTCATGGCCAAGAGATGCACTCAGACCTAAAAGCTGCTCTAGTCCCAGACTGCTTTGGGTTGGAAGGACCTTAAAGCTCCAACCCAGGGACACCTTCCACTAGAGCAGGGTGCTCCAAGTCCCATCCAACCTGGCCTTGAACACTGCGAGGGATGGGGCAGCCACAGCTTCTCCATTCAACCCATTCCCCTTCAGGGGGGATTCAACCCATTCCCCTTGGCAGAGAGACCAAGACTTCCCCTTGCTCGGCTCAACCCCAGCCTTGCACACACTCAAAGGTGCAAGAACGGGGTCTTTGCTGCCCCATCCCACCACGGCGACGGTCGGCAGCGAGACCTGCGGCACGGCTGCGTCGGGCCTGGAGGGGGGAACCCTCCTCGTCGGGGTACAATGAGTGTCTATTCTGCTGATCACAAGCTTAATCCTCTTTGGTTTTTAATTGGCATTTGGGCTAAGCTGATTTAAACCTCTTCACCTTGTTGGGTTCCCCCCTCCCCACTTCTTTCTCCTTTAGTTTTGGACCAAATAACAACGCTGCCATCACCAAGTCCCCGGCACAATGACATCTTTGTGCGAGGGTGAGAGGAGAGGAAAGGGGAAGGGAGGGGGGGAGAAGGGAAATGCGCTGAACCCACTCGGCAACAATGCGGAGTTTGTGATTCAGACTTGACCACTGGCAAAGGACCCGCTTCAGCTGCGCCTGGTTAATAAACACACTGTCCCTTCCCGGCCCCTCTCCCCCCTGCCCATCACCTCCGCCTCGAGGCTGCTCTACCTGTGGTACCCATCCCCGGATGGATGCGGCGTCCCCGCGCCCCAGTGCGGTACCCGCATCCCACCCCGCTCTCACCAGTAGCGCAGGACCAATGCACAGCAGCAGGATGGTGATGTCCCAGGATCTTCTCCATCCCATCTGGTGTTGGCGTCCCTATGGCGAAGCCCCAGGAGCCCTGAGCAGCCTGGAGGGATGCTGCTGCAAGTCGTGGTCTACATCATTGTGCTCCAGGAGGAGGAGGAGGAGGAGGAGGAAGAGGATGCAAGTGGGAGCAGCCACGGTGAGGGGCTTCTGCACAGGTCCCACTGGCCGGGCTCTGGTGCCTTTTGGAGGTGGTTTCTTCCCCACTGCTGGGTTCATGCTCACCTGAGTTAAAATCAAAAGCAGCAGAAACACCTTTTTCACCCTCTTTCCACTTCAAAGACAAAAGAACCCCAAAAGACCCCTTTGTTCTCCCAGGTGGAAACCCTTTCACAGGGATTGAGGATCACGAGGTAACAAACCCACATGGACAAAGTTACATCCACAACTGTCCCAGGCTTTGGGATGAGGGGATGGGGAGGAAGATGCTGGTGACCACAGAGCTTTTGGCCTCTCCGTTTCCCTATGATGCGGTCATGGTGGTCTTGAAGCAGTCCCTGAGCATTCCCTATGGGATTCAGCCCATCCCGGCAGCGTGCAGAGGCTGCCCAGTGGAAGAGCTTATGGAAAGCCTTAGAGATGAATCCACTTACCAGGAAATTCCATGTCAACTGTCAGCGGGGCCGGAGACACGGGATTCACCAGCTGCAAAACGAGCAGAGCATCACGGAGGGGGATCCCACTCTGCTCCCTGGCAGGGAGAGAAAGAAAAGAGGATGGGAATGTGCTAAATGTCAGCCCCATCCTCCCGTGCCTGGATTACACCAGAGCAGGGAGATTACAGCCACGTTCCTGGCGGGAAAAGGGGATGGAGGAAGAGAGGGATCAGTTGGGACAAAGCAGGGCTGGAGACTGGAAATCTAAGTCAAAACCCCCCTTTTGTGGCTGCTTTTCCTCCCCATTTGCCTTCTCCAGGCTTCCCTCCCTGCCCAGGCCACTGCCGGCTCCACCAAGGCACTTTAAAGCCTTGGGAGATGCATTGAGGGAAGTTGCTTGGATCAAATATAGAGTGAGGATCCCGGTGGAACCCATCCCTGTGACCCCAACCCCGTGCTCTGTGGGAAGCAAGCAGGAGAGCTTGGTTCCTTTCCCATCTGCATAAACTCTGCCTTCGTCCCTTCACACATGGATTCAAACAGCGAGTGCAGAGGTTGCTTGGCTTGTTGGATAGAGGAAGGTGCTTGGGCCTGAGAAAGAGCCTTTTCCCCTGCCCATTAGTCCCATAAATCATTGATAACACTACAGAAATCAGAGAGAGAATCCATGCTGTGGGAAGGAAGTGACGGAGAGTGAGCGGGAGCAGCGCAGGGATGCCCACATCCATCCTCTCCTTCCAGCCCCACTTCCCACCCACCAACGTGCCCCATCCCAGGCTGAGAATAAGGAAGGAAGAAACCCCCCCAGACCCAGCGTGGAACAAAGGTTAGCAATGAAAGCAGTGAGAAACCAGCTAAGTCCATGCGGCTTAGCCAAATAGCTGAGAGCCTTAGTGCATTTTTGGGAGCTTTAGGAACATGGTTCCCATTCCTGACTAAGCACGTTTGGCAGGCGGAGGGGAGCGCGTGGCTGCAGGAGGGATCCCAAGGGATGGTGATGGTCGTGGTCACCACTTCCCTGCTCCCTTCCCACCTCAGAGACCCCAGGCGGGCCCAGGACTGAGCTGAGCAGCACTTCCCTATGGGGACAATCCCAACCGAGCGCGTTTGGGGCTCCAGCATCCACCCACCAAGGGGAAAATCCCGGGATTTCTGTTCCTTCTCAGGATAAATTTCCGGTTGGTTTTAATCTGCTTTCCACATTCCCGTCGCACCAGGGTTAAACTCACTTGGGGTATTGAGGCTTTTAAGTTTCTAGGGTCCCATGGCAACAGAGGGATGGGGAGAAATTAAGAACAACAACAAAAACTCTCCTGTAACACCCAGATCTGCACCTAAAGCATCAGCTTCTCCCAACAGGATCTGTAGATAAACCCACCCCACAGCATTCCCAGTGCCGGAGTAGAACGGCTCAGTCCACACCCCATTGGGTTCTATGGTGTAGAAAGGGAGGTTCCCCCCACTTAATGCAAGGTCTTTGTACCCACAACCCATCCGGACCAGATGAAGCCTCTCCCACTTCTGATTATCCAAGTAGGGGATGAATTTGCTCATGGCTCACCTTGATTTCCCCTCTTGAACAGCCACAGAACGGGCTCAGCAGCTTTAAAAATGGCTCTGTTGGGTTTTTCTGGGCCAAAGAAGTGGGGGGGACACCGAGATTACAAATCAAAGGGGTTTCCCTCATCCTATTGAGGTCTACGAGGAACGAAATAGCATTTCTTGCCGAGCCTCAAACCCCACATTATCCATGTGGGGCCCAATGATAATGAATAGAAGATGGGGTACAAAAGCCTGTCCCTCGCCTTGGCTCCATCCCACTGCACAGCCTGGAGCCGAAACAAAAGGAGCTCGAGTTTTAGGGGGTGAGTTGGGTGCTTTGGGCATGGCCGGGGGGTCGTTCATAGCCACGACGCCCTACAGTGAGCCCCACGAGGGGCGGGAAGAGGAAAACCCCCATGGATGAGGCTGGGATGAGCACCCCGCGGCGAGGATGCGGTACCCAGGGCGAGATCGTCGGCGTTGCCCGGGATGCTGCAAGGATGCAGCCGCCCGCATGGCGAGGACCAGGGGGGGAAGAGAATCGGCCATTTTAGACGTCGGCTGCCTAAAATGGTGGATTCCCACCTTTTTTTTATCCCTTTCTGCTCCCGTTTCCAGCACGCATGCACCCGCGGGAAGGGGAGGGAGAGGGCAAGGGCGCCGGCAACGGGAGCCAGCCTGGAATTAGAGGGAGAAATGAAAAGAGGGGAAAGGGGGGGAAAAGAGGGGAAGGATGCGCTTCGCCTCGACACGGCCTATCCTATCCGTTGGCTTTTGTGCATCCTGCGGAAGGGAGAAGCAGGAAGGCTTCGAGGGGAGGGAAAAAAGTGGGGGGGGAATGAAGAGTATTAGGGTGAGGCCGGTGAGGGGCAGGGATGCGCATGGGGTGCGGAAGGGGGGAGATCTTCCCTCCTTTCTTCGCCGACCCCCCTTCGCCCTCCCCGCAATCCCGCTTTGACTTTTCCCACAGAAGTAGCCAACCTCCAAGAATGCAAATGACATTCATTATGCAAATGCATGCAAATCAGGTTTAACTATCGGAAGAAGGGCTCGGAATTTCTAATGGGTTAACTCTTTCGCGCGCAACCGGGATCACAAGAGCCCCCCGTGTCTTCCGTAGGGCTTTGTGTTCCCTCATCCAGGGCCGGGCACCCCGACCCGCACCCCCCGTGGGTGCCCCGTGGTCCCCATGGAGGGTGTAGGGTGGAACAAAGCACCAGGGCAAACCCAGCATCACCAACAAAACCCCATTGGCGTGGGAGCGGCTGCCCCTTCCTTCCACACGCAGGCAGGAGGGGAGACAAAGCAGGATGAATGCAGGACTGGGGGGGGGAAGAAGAGAAAATAAGGGAAAACAAACAAAAAGGGAAATGAAAAATTAAAAAAGGAACAAAAAAAATTAAAGGAAATAGGAAAGAAAAAAATTGAAAAAAAAAAGAAAAATGGAAAAGGGAAAAATGGAAAGGGGAAAAAATGGAAAAGGAGAAAAATGGAGAAGGGGAAAAATGGAAAAGGGGAAAAATGGAAAAGGGGAAAAATGGAAAAGGGGAAAAATGGAAAAGGGGAAAAATGGAAAAGGGGAAAAATGGAAAAGAGGAAAAATGGAAAAGAGGAAAAATGGAAAAGGGGAAAAATGGAAAAGGGAAAAAATGGAAAAAGGGAAAAATTGAAAAGAGGAAAAATGGAAAAGGGGAAAAATGGAAAAGGGGAAAAATGGAAAAGAGGAAAAATGGAAAAGGGGAAAAATGGAAAAGAGGAAAAATGGAAAAGGGAAAAAATGGAACAAGGAAAATAAAAAAAGAAAAAAAGCAAGTGGAAAAGGAAAACAAAGGAAATGGAAAAAGGAAAAAGAAAATGGAAAAGCAAAAAAAAAAAGGAAAAAAAGGAAAATGGAAAAAGGAAAAAATGGAAAAAAAAAAGAAAAAGGAAGAAAAGGGAAAAGGGGAAAAAAGAAGAAAAAGGGAGAAAAGGGAAAAAGAAAAAAGAAAATGGAAAAGAAAGACAAAAAATAAAGGAAAAAAGGGGAAAATCTGGGTTGAAACCCATGAACTAAAGAAAGGGAAGGGAAAAGCAGGAGGCGAAACCCTCCCCGCGCTGCACCCACAAAGGCTGGTGGCAGCCACGAGGGTTCTGCTGTTCACATCCCACCGGCGCCGGGACAGGCACGGAGCCACCGGCTCTTTCTGCTGGGGAAAGAAGGCCCCAAACGGCCCCAAATCCCCCTTTTTTTTGCCAGCTTTTGCATTGGAAAACTCCTCATTTCCAATCTCAGCTTCCCGGGTGCTGCGTGAGGCCGTTTCCCCCCAAGAAGGGACCTATGGAGGGGTGGCACCAGGACCCCCATCTGCATCCCTGTGAGCCGGGATGCTCCCAGTCGTGGCACCACCACCCCTCTGGGAAAAGCCCAATTCCCCATCCCAGCCCCCAGAACACAAAGGCCCCGGTGCCAGGAGCTGAAATGGAGAAATCCCAGTGCTCACCATCCGCAGGGATTATGGCAAGGGAGCAACGGATGCATCGCATCGTTCTCAATGTTTTATAGAGCTGCTGCTATTGATTAGCAATAATAATGCATTTTAATATCAATTCTGAGCCTTGCCTGAGGATTATGCCTAGACCCTCTGATTTTCCTGTGATTTTCCATGATTTTTATGCTCCTTCCAACACCCACATTTGATTTTTTTGGTCCCAATCTGCTCCAAACCTCTTGTTCTTGAGGCTGGGAGCTGCTGGGAGCAGGAGGAAATCTGGGCTAGGGCAAAAAGCTCCCTATCTAAGGGGTTTGGTTAGGAGCACCATTGAAAGGATTGGTTTATAGGGAGCTGAAGTGCACAAACCCCGAGCTATTGGCCAAATCCAAGTGAAATAAAGCTTTTCCTTTCATTAATAAATAGTCTTTATAAACGTGGTCTTTGCCTGCTTGGGCCCCTGCAGAGGGAGAAATATGCAGCATTTGGTAAACCTTGAGCATCCCAAACCAATGAGAAATGGGTCAGCCCATTCCCTATGGAAAAAAAAATTAGGAGGGGGAATAAATAAATGAACCAAATCAGGATTAAAACCCTTATCAATGAAACCAATCTGGGTTTCTTTCTTCTCTTCCTGGCCTCCAGCACGCGGCAATGGGCCATGTGCGGCCCTTGCCCTGCTCCTTTGGACTCCCAGCCCCACTTCCCAACGGTCAAACTGGAAGTGGGTGATTTTGGGGGAAGAAGGATTGGAAATGCTATAAAGGATAAAAGAATTGGAGGCAGAAAACGGGGCTGGTGGGTGCAGATCCCTATTGCTGGTGTCTAATAGGCAGCATCATTATCATAGCACACTGCTGAGAAAGCCAACTTCTCCAATGCTTCCTTAGGAGCACACACACAAGGAGCTTGTAAATTGTCCTTTACTCAGCCTGGTACCTCCTTAGGATTCACTTAGTAAATACCTGGTGGCAGAGGCATCCCCGGAGCTGCAGGGCACTGGCTTCAGTCTGTGGGAATGAAGCACAAGTTTGGTGGGGTTAGTGCTGGAAAGAGCTGGAGAAGATCACATCCCAAACGGGCTGATCCTTAGGAGCCTTCCAACCCAAATCACTCCAGGATTCCATGAGCTGGAATTCTGGGTTTCTCCCAGCTTCCCGCATGAAAAGCATCGTTTGCAGCAGTGATTTCAAGTGTGGTTTGCTATGAAAAAGGCACCTCTTTCCCTCCACCTCCCTCCTCTGTCAGATTTCCCCATTCACACCCGCATCCATTTCAAACCTTTTTGCCCCATCCTTGCTGCACCTCTTGAGCCCTGGAAAACTTCAGCGTTTTCCCAGCCCCGAGGCTGCAGTCTTTGGGAAAAAAGAGGGAAATTTGCAGCTTCTACCTCCCCCCCCCACCAAAATACAGCTTTCCAAGTGTTTTCATCACTTTGCATTAAAACCCCACTGCCAAACAGCACTCACTGGGAGTGTTCAGCCATACCGGGGGGGGATGGAACCTGGCTGTTTCCTGCCCATAAGCCCTGTTTTACGCCCCAAAAGACCCATTTTCCCTCCTTGCCAAAGGGGGTGATTTCCAGATGGGATGCTCAGCACTGGGCTTTGTCCAGGGCTTTTCCTAAGCCCCACCATGGGGAAAACGGGCTGGGAGAAGATGCTGCTGGTCTCTAAGTGAATCCAGTGTCAGATGATGGAAAACAGAGATGTGGAAATACCAAGTCCTCAGGATGGGCTATGGAGCAGCAGGAGCCGCCACCATGGTTGGAAGTCCCTAAAGGCTCCAGGTCCGTGCCCCAAACCAACATTCCCAAAGGAAAAGAGCCTTTAAAGTGCCCAACTGCTGCACAAACCTCTTGGTTTTCCTCCCTAGCAGGACCTGTGGGGGTTTCTTGATGAAATCTGGGATTTGGGGCTATTATACCTGCACCAAGGGGTATAATTCTTTCTCTTTCAGGGAGAATCCTGACTTTTCACCACTCCTGGCAAAAGCAAGAGGAAAAGAGGAATCCTGCAGCAGCGACTCGCGATACCCGATGCCCATCACCTCTCAGGATGCAACGGGACGCGGAAACACCCTTTGCCCACCAACCAATTCCCGCTGGGATCACAGAGGGGATTTGATGAGCAAGCCTTAACGCAGCAGGAGGCGAAGGCTCCCTGCACTGTTTTAGAGGCAGGAGCTCCTGCTGCTCTTCTCTGTAACCACTTGCACCTCCTCTCCCATTGCCCTTTTCCCAAGGGACCTCACCAGCCTTGCCAGGGCCCGGTGGTTTTTGGGCCACGTTCCCTTTTGCATCCCTCCAAAGACACCACGGAAAAAGAGAAAGGAACCCAACCAAACCCAGCGCCCTTTCTTCTGCTCTTCCCAAAGGACCGGGAGGCGCGAGCACTCGAGAGTCAAATTTGCCCAGGACCCGCGGTCCCTAAGAAAGCAGGACTCATTCTCCTTCCCCAAACTCCACAGCAGCAACAAAAGTCCCTTTCAAGCCCTTCCAGACGCAAGTCCTTCAGCTCAATTAGTCAGGCACACAGAGACACAAAAAAGCCTCCCATTCAAGCCAGTGGCTGGCTGTGGAGGACAAGGGCGAAGAAAGGATCTTTCTCCCACGCTTTCACTGGGTGTCATAACAAGCAGAAAGCCCTCTTACGGGGGGATTATTGGAGATAAGAGTCCGATGGAGGAGCTGGTGCAGGAGCTGGGGCTGCAGGAGGAAGGGAGGAGGGGATGGGGTTGGGAGCTTGCAGCTCCCAAGGTCGGCAGCGAGCGCGGCACCGCGCTCCATCGCCAAGGGTTGAAAGAGGAATGACGATATTCCAGCCTCCCCCCTTCCCTTTCCCCGGTCCACACACGCGCAGAATAATCCCGCTTCTCCATGGCAACCTGCTCCGTGGCCATCCCTCTCGCACCGGAGGAGGGAGGCAGCTCAACGGCTTGCCCTGGTGCTGGCAAAGCCTCCGTGAGATGGGCAGCGGGGCTGGGAGCTGTTCGCTGCCTGATGCTCCAAAACCAAGTGGTTATCCCAAGCCAAAAGGGCCAAGAAGATGGAAAAGCTCCCTCTGTCCAGAAAGCCACCCAACCCAGGGGATGTTCCTGGGTTTAAGGTTAAAAAAAATAACTTTTTTTGCCTTAAAAAAGGGACGAATTTGGTGGGTTTGTGGCTCAAAGTCGAAACAAAGAGGGAGAAGGGAGAAAATGCCCCAAAGAATGGGGTTTGTCTGCAAAATCATGAGGTGGGTCCACGGTCCGGGGCCATCCGCCCTCTGTGGTACCCATCCGACATCGCGAGCCCTCAAAGCTCCCTGTAGGCAGTGGAAAGGTCCTTTAGACACCAATACTCGCAGCATGCATCAAGGTTCCTAAAGGAATTACGACCCTCATTCCCTTCAACAGCCAACCAAGGTTACATCCTTAATACCCCACAGCCTTCCCATCGGCTCCATGTGTGGCTCTGGAGGCCGATGCACTTCCAGCTCTCTCCAAAGCCATGATTCCAGGGGTCACCGAAGCAAATCCCAAGTAAAGGTTAAAAAACAGAGGGATTTTTTAGGCACCCTTCGCTGCTGAGGGATGCTCCCATTCCCAGAGGATGGGAAGAGCATCCAAGCTTAGCAGCGTTTTACAAGGATCGGGGATATAAACTCTCCAGCTTGGGGATGGAAAGCCGAGAAACTCTCTCGGAATACATTATCCCATAATTGTAGGGTTTCAAGCACTCTCCTCCCAAGCAGCTGGTGCCTGCTGATGCCAGAGAAAGGTTATTTGGACCAGGCGCCTTCCTGCCCGGGAATCCCTAAACCAACCCTGTGAAATGCCATAAAAGCTGAATATTCCGCCTTATTCTTACCTAAACTTGCAGGTATTTACCAAAGGCAGAGGGGAGGAACGGGCGAAACAAAGCAGGCTGCTCAGGGATAACCCTTCCTTCTTTCCCAGGGCTCTGCTTCCCTTTATCCCCCCGAACAGGGGTGAGTTTTGAGCTTCCACCAGGCAGGAACCTGCTGAAGGTCAAATGAAACCTGGTTTAGCTGCACCCACCTAAGCAATGCAAGGCCACAGGAGAAGCCAAAAGCCTCCTGGAGCCGCACGCAGGCTCGGGGCTGAGCCAGCCACCAAACACCCACTTTTTCCCATTGCCAGCACTTATTAATCAGCTTTTCTTTCATTTTTCCCCTCTTAGAGCTGCTTTTTCTGCCTGTCCCAGAACCAGCTCCACCTCCCCATAGAAACCCATTGCACCAAGCGGCTGAACCCAAAGCGGATGCTCCCTTTGCCAGCACCAGCATCCTGGCACCGCTCCCTTTGTCCCTGCTCCGGCAATACTCCAAGCCCTAAAAGTGGAATTAAAATGGCTTTTACACCTAGCCCGAGCTGTCAAAGCTGAAGCTCAGGCCACGGCTGGGTGAGGATTACACAGCTTAGCTTTACACTTACAGATGCCAGGTTTAAGTCTGGTCTCGGCTGGAGCAGGATAAAGCCTGGAGTTACCCATCAGCATGAAGCCTGCGATCCACCGATAACCAGAGACGGATTCAGATCCAAGACCTCCCGTCCATAAGGACACCCCTCAGCCCCAATCCCAATCCACAGCTGGGAACCACAACTCCCCAACCCTTTTGCTGCCAAGCCAGCCACAGGCAGACCCTGCTGCTCTCAACCCCATCGGTTGTCATCCTTCCTCCCAGTGCTTTACAGCCAGGGGGAAGCGCAGCGAGCGGGGAGGTGTCGGCCCTCGCGCGCACACGTCCCTTTCCATCTCCATCCCTGAAAATCCCACAGGACAAGCCAGGACGCAGCCCCCAGGGACTATTTTTAGGGCCACGTTGGCAGCGCTGTCAACACAAGCCTGGACCAGCAGAACCTCCCGCAGCAGCGGCGGCGGGTGACGGGAGAGGTGATGCTGCCGGCGAGCGCCGCGGCTCTGCCTTCACATCCAATCACCCCAGCTGCATTTGAGCGACCTCTGTCTCCTCCAAGCAGCCTCAAGACCACAGAGCTCATCGTTTTGCTCCTATCCGTCCCCTTCCCCAAGGCACTGCCACCCTCTTCCCGCAGGCAAGGCGCAGGAGAACCGTGCGGGCCCCCCAAGCACCGCGTTTGCACCCCGGGATGGGGTGGGAGAGGAGAAATCCCTTCTCACACACAGAAACCAGCACCAGACACCCCAAAGCCATCCCAAGCCGCATCAGTGACCAGAGCCACGTCAGGTGGGGACAGGGATCGGGGTCACCTTTCCTCATGTCCCAGTGCGGGCCCCTGGTTAAAGCAGAGCATCCATCCAGCCCCTGATCCCACACACCCGGCACTTGCTGGAAGGAAAGCGGGGCCTGATGCGATTCCGATGGCGGCTTAAAGCGCCCACTCAGCTGCTTCCTCATAATCCCCACAGGAAAATCATTCCCTTGAAAACACTCGGGGGTTTTGGAGCTCTGATTGTTTGCAAAGGAAAGACCCTGCTCTCGGCACAAAGACGAGCCCCGCTCTGAGCCCCGATCCAGGGCTGGAGCCTTCAATAAGCATTTTGACCCCTATAGGTACCGATGGCAAGAAGCTTTCTGCTTTCTCTTGGCACAGAGACATTCCTCACCCCCAAAACCCAGCTCTGGTCCTGGAGCACATCACATGGACCCAGCACCCCAAAAGCAGAAGAGCTTTAGGGGTGATGTGGACGCAAGCCGCTGCCTCCTGCCTCAAAAGCACCTTTAAAACCGTCGCATCTCCCATGCAAACCTGGCTGGGAGTGCTTGGAGAAAGGAAATACATCCATACATTGTTCAACCCTATAGATATACACACAGATCTACATCATATCCATATGGTTTCTTTGGGGTGGCACGGCCGTGCCATTTCGCACCTACCCAACCCTGCGGTGGGAGCGCGATGCCAGAGAGAGAAAGGAGCTTTGTGGAGACCTGGAAGGGCTTGAGCCATCAGGGCCTCCTTTTGTTTGCAGCTGAGAAGTGGAAAAGGCCAGCAGAAAATTCCTCCAGTTGGGAAATCGCTGCTTTCCCCAGTCCTGGTTTTAAATAGGAAGGGAAAATGACCAATTTCTCACTGTTTGCAGCGGAGAATTTCCTTCTCTTATGGGTAAAAATGGAGAATGTTTCTCCTCTCCAATATCCACTGGCAGCATTGACCAGCACAAGTATTCCTGCACATTTGGCAATGTCCCGACCCGCGTTGTTCATGAGGAGAAGGGGCTTTGGACCCAACAACAAACCAACTCACTGCATTCCCACCGCCTGGCATTAAGTATTAAGGACAGGAGCTAAAGACAAGCTCTATCCTAAGGGAAAGCATTACAGTGAATGAAATTAATTCTCAATAATTCTATTTGTATATTCAGTTCTTCTCAATGACTCACTGAACCAGAGGAAAATTAGCATTGCTCCATTTTTACCTCTCCCCAAACACTGCTTCTAAGCACGGAAAAGAATGCAGAGAGCTAATCTCTTGATACACAACATGCAAGCATATCTCCTATTAATGTCTCCAGCAGTTATGTGACCAGAAGGGAGAACTGAGTAGACAGTGCTGAGTGTTAACCAGTCAAATCAGAGTGTCCAAGCAAGCTTAAACAGCCACATGTAAGCTGCAATTTGGATCAACGTCACACCAACACGCCGGGCTTTCTCCTTGCTCCTGCATTCCAGTGGCAAATTGAGGAGAAAGGGGGGAAAAAAGTCATAAATCAGCTCTTTGCAAGAGTATTCCCACCCGTGTTCCCAAAGGCCTCGGAGAGAGCCAAGCTCTGAGCACGCAGCCGGTCCCACCACTGGGAATCATCACCCACAATGACAAAGATGCGAATGAAGAAGGAATCTCCAAAGGCATGGAGAGTACCAGGATCAACAGCACCCCAGCAGCAGCAAGTGGGGTGAAACTGGCTCCCATTCGCCTTGCCAGGCTGGGAGCACAAAGGGGAAGCCCTGTGGTGTCGCGATGTCCCTGAGCCGATGGGAGGCTCAGGACTGGTTTAAGGGGTGGGTTTTACATCAGGGAATGAAATGCACAAGCTCTGGAGAGCCGGGCCAGGCTTTAAACCCATCCTCTCCATCATGGACCACCATGGGCGCCTCCTGCCCCTGGATCCATCCTGCCATACACAGGCTCCCTCCTCTCCCGGTCGGGTTTCGCCCTCGTCCCACTTCGCATTCCCCCATTCCTGCTCTTGTCTTTGTTATACCCAAGCAAGTGACACCATCAACCATCAGCCTATGGTGGTGCCGCCTTGGCCCTGCACAGACCAGGATTGGTCACCTTGGAACACCAAAAGATGATCACATCCCATCGCTTCCAGCCTCCGATTGGACAAAAGGCGCTTTTTTCCCCCCGCCTTGAACGAAGACACTGGCCAATGGTGGATGGCACATGGCAGCTCACCAGTGCTCACCCAGCAATAAAAGTCCCTTGTCCCTGGGTGAGCCACCAAAACCCCTTCTCATGAGGGCTCAACGCCAGGGTCCACCCGAAGCCACCTCCCAGTCCATGAGCCTGGTGAGCACCAGTTCCACCGGCAACCGTTCTCCTCCCATCTCCATCTGCCTCAGAGGGATGAAGGAGGAGAGCTCCTTGTGATGACCTCCTGGTGCCACCAAAGCCAAGGTTGTCCAACTCCATCCTATGAGATGCTCAGGGCTGCGAGCATCCATAGAGGACGTTCTCCCTTTCCACGGAGGATGCTCTTTCCCCTTCCATGCACCAAGGCTCGGGTGCTTCTGTTGCCCTGTCCTCTGTAATGTCCCACTCTGGCTGGAGACAAGCAACCAGGCCAGGAGAGTGGCACCTCCAAGGGCAAGGAGGAGCAGCAAGGCACCAGAGAATAAAACAAGAGCTCCTAAGAACTTCCCTACGCCCCTGCGACCGCCAGCGTGGGCTGCGGGAGCAGCGCCAGGAACAATAGCAGCACCTAGATGAACCCTGAAGGGAAGACAGAAAGGAGGTTTTCCTTCAGCTTTCCCCAAGCAGATCATTACAGGGAGTTAAGGCATGCACTGAATTATTCGGAATTACAGGGCTGTGGGTGAGGAGGGAGGCAAATACCTTGTTCGTTCATTTAAAGTCATCGTATGAGCAGGAGATCTCTTTTACGCTACACCCAGAGGTGCAGCCTTGCCCCGGCCAAGCTGCCAGGGACAGCTTCTTCTGCCTCTTTCTCTTTGCCCCTTTGCTTTTTGTGAAGACCCCCACGAGCACATGAGCGAAACGAGCGGGTCCAGCACAGGTCAGAAGGCAGCTCCTTGCCTCTGTTTCTCACAAGAGGGTTTTCATGAGGTAGCAATGCCAGAATTGCTCCTCTCCAAAGCAGTTCAGGTGCTGGCACCCCCGTTTGCTCTTTATTATCATGAACTCTTTCCCCCCCCCCCCCCGGCCTTGGAATCACCATTCTGAGGTTAGGAATGATCTTTACATCATCACAATCCATCACAAGATCTTTGTGTTCTTCTACGCACCATCAAGACCCCTTTCCAAATTGGTTGCTGTGTTTTGCAGGTGGCATCTAAAGGCAACCAGTCCGACCCTTACAAGCGAGGGGGAAGCACCCGGTTCCCCTCTTTGACCCAAAATTCCCTTCTACGGTAAAGCAGGTAAAAAAAGAAAATCTCCGTTTCCATCAGGAAAAGGTTGGTACAGAAACCAGGGGAAGGGATAAGGACCAGCGTGGATTTGCAGAGAGGATAAATTAAGCAAAATCAAGTTCTCTGATTAGTCTCCCGTGGTTTCATACGCGCATAATATATTTTTTGCAAATCCCCAATCTTGGCATCTCGAGTCTATTCAAAGAAATGGAACAGACAAAGGGTTAAAAGAAGAAAGAAAGCATTTGGATAGAGGTACTAGGGAATTAAAACAAAGAAAACGGCAAGAAAGCAGTTCCCAAATCACCAGATCCTTCTCTTTTAATCCTGAGATGGAGTTATATCTATCAGGGAAGAAAATGAAACAGACAAAAAAGAGGGAATGGAATACGGGGAGAGGGGGGAAAAAAAGGGAAAGGAGAAAAAGAAAAGGAATCCAGCGCTCGTATTTGCAAAACAACCATTAATAACCAGTGCTCTGTTGCTGCTTTATTAAACAGATAATCCAGCACAGTAATCTGCATTGATTTAGGGATTCTCTGGTGCTCTACGACTGGTTATGCAACGAAAAGTTCCTCCTTGAGCTGTAGTTCTGCGTCCTGGGTTTAAGTAATTCCTAATCTGATGGGAAGTTTGACTTTGCTAATTCAAGACCAATTCCCGGCCACATCCTCGTCTTTCTCAAGACGGACGTTCTCTTCGCATGCACAGAATCAAGAAACTCGCTTCAAATCACAGGAGGCAAAGAGATTCTTTTAGGAAAAAAATCAAATCCTACCTCGGCTTTTAATTCGTCTCAAAAAGTTGTCTTTTGGGGGGGGCTTTTTTCCCTTTTTTTTTTTCCTCTTTTCCTTTCTCTTCCCTGCTTTTTTTTTTTTTCACTTCATTTTTTCTTTTCCTCCTCTTCCTTTGGATGAATTTCCTTTCTTCTCCACATCCTCCTCCTCAGGCGTGTAATGGGGTTATTTTTACTTTCGGTTATCTAGCTTTATGAAGA